TATTCAAAGATAACATGACTATCTGTGAAAAAAGTGCATAATGTTTAAAATAATGTTTATAAACCAATTATAATTAATTAAGTTGTTTAAACAACTATAAACAAAACAGCATCATGTATGTATGCAAAGCCAAGCACAATGTATGTATTGTGCGAGACGCGAGTGCAACTGTGATAGATGTCCCTCTAGAAAATGCACGAAATATGTGTTCTGTGTGAACGGCTTGGTTTCAGTTTTGATGAAAACAAGATCTTCTCCGCATTGATGTTCTCTTTTCCCGCAATATTTGTAATTAACAACGCAGCAGCGCCGCATCTAGTGGCTTCAACTGGATAGGCTAACAAAAACATTATAATGCAACGACACTTACATCGTCATCGCATCTCGTGCGCCACTGATAAGGCTGCCTCCTTAACACACACCTAAAATTCAAATGCAACGTTTTTGCATTTGAATGTGGATTTTTATTTTAAATTCGATGAATATTCGAATTTTTTTTGACAGCCCTAGTGGTGAGTTATGGTTTCTGATGCACATTATATGAAATAAACATCAGTTGTCATTTATCTTTTTATTGAGCCTTAAAAGTTGAGCTTTTCCTGGTCTTTTTTGGCACAGAAACTGATTCCTGCAGTCGAATTCCTTGATCTCAGCTATAATGAATTGTCTCTAGTGGAAAACCTCCAGGTGTGTTGTCTCTAGATAATTTCATAATTTTACTTTTAAAGTGCAAAGTAAGTTTGACATTTAGAATTCAATGAATTTTCAAGGATTTTATTTATTTCTTATTATTTTGACTGCAGCATTTGTACAACCTGGTTCATCTGGATCTGTCCTTCAACAAACTCACGGTCCTGGAGGGCGTTCACACTAAACTCGGGAATATCAAGACTTTGAATCTGTCTGGGAATCAGTTGGAGACGCTTTCCGGCCTCAGTAAACATTACTCATTGGTTAACTTGGATTTAAGCAGCAACAGATTAACACAGGTAGTTTATTACAGTGTTTGCTTAGACATTATTTTCTTGACACCATCATTTGCTCAACATAATTCTCTGTCTTCTGTTTTTTTGTAGCTGGATGAAATCAAACACATTGGCACTCTTCCCTGTCTGGAGAAACTGTCTCTGGCTGATAACCCCATGTGCATCATCCCAGATTACAGGACTAAAGTCCTGGCCCAGTTCTGTGACCGGGCCTCCGAGGTATGTCTGTTTACTGCACCGTTTTGCTGGAGTTTGCAGTAAGGAAAAAAAGAGTGTCAAATTAAACAAATAATTTACATTTATTTATGATAAAGTTTTAGGGCATTTTTCTGAGTTTGTTTTTCATTGATATATATAACAGTAATAATTTGTGTTTGTCATGCAGGTGTGTTTGGATGGTACAACCACCACAGAAAAAGAGCTCGACACGGTGGAGGTGCTGAAAGCCATTCAGAAAGCAAAAGAGGCCAAAGACCGAATGGCAAACAATGAGAAAAAGGTATTTTGAAAATCAACTTTAAAATTATTTAAAAATGAATATTATAATTATTATAACAATAATCTTAATAATAATAACAACATTATTATTTATAATTGCTATTAATATTTATTATCACTTATTGCTATTAACATTTATTATTATTCGTTTATTTTGCTTTTGTTTAGTAGGAAAGCTTTAAAAGATAAAGAAATTAAAATTACGTAAAGTCGGTTGACAATGGAAACAAATGTACGTAAAAGCCCTCCTGAATGAAAAGTTATGTAATAGGTCCTAATTCAAACTGTATTATCTGGCAGATTAATGGTTTTCTGAGTAATGTCATTTTGTGATGCATTGATAGTGTTTTGAAGGAGTGTGCTGGCTTTCTTTGAATTAATTGTGACAATCTTTTAGGTGTGAATTGGCCTAAACCTTGATATCCAGACATGAGAAATCAACAAAAAGATGATTCATTGTCTGGCTTTATATGCTCACATTGATGCATTGGTGTGGCAGCAGCATCTATTACATAACACAAATTTTCCAGTGGAGGGAAAAACGAGTTGTGGTGCCTCCTCTTGGCCAGACTCTGATAGTGACTGGATATCATCTGCACTCCACATGTCTGCAGTTCTGCTTTAAATAAATGTGATTATGCATTAACTTGAAAATTGGATATTGTAATATTATAGTATATGTTAAACATTGCGGTGTGCTCAAGACTCTGAATTATCATAATTACTATGACAGAAAAATACTTAATCAGTACATCAGTAGAGCCATTTAGTTTTGAGTCTCAGGATTTTTATTTATTTATGTATTGTTGATTTAAATATTGTTTTAAACAATTAAAATATTACTAAAATGGTTTTCTTTACATTTAATTTAAGAATTAACAAAGCATATCAGGCAAAATCATCTATAATAAAATGGCATGTAAAATGGTTGCAAATGAGCTTTTATGAAATTATACAGAAAACCGAGTTACGGTAATAACAAGAACACATTATTTGTGGCCTTTGTGTTTCTATGTGTACTGAATCTTTCATACTAACATCGTGTCCTAACCAGGCATGACGTTTTGAGCATGAAGTAAGTGAAATTTTGCGTTAAATCCACAGCCAATCAGTAGATATTTGATGTTTATATGGAGCAGGATTTGGACCAATGAGATTTCAGTGTGGGTGGAAAAACTCAATTTATGGCTCGTCGTTCTGGTTTGGACATGTTGTAAAACTTTAAATTAACATTAAGGTGTTTACGATTCCTCGCACACGTTACATTGACCTCTAGGGGTCTTGAATTAGTCACACTGTGGTTTTGGCTAAAGAGGAGCCTGATGTTATCGTTGTCAGGTGAGTGACGTCCCGGGGCAGGCCGCAGACAGGCCACAGTCCTCTTCGTCCTCTCTCGTCGCGCCGCCCTCCTCTTCCTCCCCCTCTCTGTCTCATTCCACCTGCTCCAGTCAAGGTAATCATGTATGTATCGCGCTGCTGGGACGAGGGGGGGAAACCCAAATGGAGAATTAAAAGTGAAGTGTGTTATTTCAAACAGGTTTCTCAAACACTCCCATCTGTCACTGGTTGGATAAACAAATAGTCTCACCCCAAACTCGTTGTGTCTGCATTTTAAGATGGGAGAGGAGAGAGTTTTAACGTCAAAAATTACACACTTCACCTTTAAAGCGTAAAAATAAATCCCTCTGATGGAATGACATAATTAGCATGCTTGACATCATGTATTTTTCTTCATTACGTAATGATTGTAAATGAGTAATCAGGCACTATTGAATCATTTTCTTGTGATATCTGAAACTATTGAACTATTATTCTTTATAGAAAGACTTTTGGCAGTTTTCCTTGCACCAGTGATCTCTAAATCTCATTTCTGTTCAGTTACTCCTGCATACTGACTTACTGCAGCTCTGCCGGTCATAATTACATTTCAGAGATTTGGTGTGTCCGTTTCTGCACTGCAGATGAAATAAATCATGTTTCATCAGCATTCCTAATGTGTTTACGATTCCTCGCACACGTTACATTGACCTCTAGGGGTCTTGAATTAGTCACACTGTGGTTTTGGCTAAAGAGGAGCCTGATGTTATCGTTGTCAGGTGAGTGACGTCCCGGGGCAGGCCGCAGACAGGCCACAGTCCTCTTCGTCCTCTCTCGTCGCGCCGCCCTCCTCTTCCTCCCCCTCTCTGTCTCATTCCACCTGCTCCAGTCAAGGTAATCATGTATGTATCGCGCTGCTGGGACGAGGGGGGGAAACCCAAATGGAGAATTAAAAGTGAAGTGTGTTATTTCAAACAGGTTTCTCAAACACTCCCATCTGTCACTGGTTGGATAAACAAATAGTCTCACCCCAAACTCGTTGTGTCTGCATTTTAAGATGGGAGAGGAGAGAGATTTAACGTCAAAAATTACACACTTCACCTTTAAAGCGTAAAAATAAATCCCTCTGATGGAATGACATAATTAGCATGCTTGACATCATGTATTTTTCTTCATTACGTAATGATTGTAAATGAGTAATCAGGCACTATTGAATCATTTTCTTGTGATATCTGAAACTATTGAACTGTTATTCTTTATAGAAAGACTTTTGGCAGTTTTCCTTGCACCAGTGATCTCTAAATCTAATTTCTGTTCAGTTACTCCTGCATACTGACTTACTGCAGCTCTGCCGGTCATAATTACATTTCAGAGATTTGGTGTGTCCGTTTCTGCACTGCAGATGAAATAAATCATGTTTCATCAGCATTCCTAATTGATTTTTTCATATCTGTGCTTTGAGTATATTGGGCATCCATTTTTTTAAAACTAGCTTAAACATTGAATTTTGTGGTGGTTAATTTGCATGTGTTGCTCTAATAGCGATAGAGCCTGATTTATAAAGCATTTGATCTCCATATTTGTCTCTTGAGTTTTAGTTACTAAGCAACAGCCTCGGGTGCTTTGATAGACTTTCCATTTTTGCAAACAGCATCTAAATATTCAGCGTTACGCACTCCTATAAAATGTGATTTAAACAATGTTTTCTGAAATATTAATGGAATATTATACTCTAGCACAAAATTGTACATTTCGGAATCTTCTATGCATTCCATTTAATCTAATAATACTGTGTGAACAGAACTTCAATGACTAAAGAAAGACTTTATCTCCCTTTCAGAAATAACTACTTGTAAAGAAAAAGCTTTTATTACCAAAGAGATATTAACTCCTGTGGATTCTACACGTACCCAGAGATGCTATGATGTTTACAGCTCAACCTGTGATGTCATTCCGCAGGTTGGTTGGTATTATAGCACAATTAATTAATTTGTACTGTAGTTTCAGCAAAAACAACACACCACTGGATCTTTTTTGCAGGTGGAAACTCAAATTGATTCGAGTTTGTCTTCGGAGGTCACCTTTGAGAGCAGGTTAGTTCTTATAATCTTGTGTTTTGTTTCTGTTATGCCGAAACATACTTGTATCCCATAAATGTATGCCTTGCTTGATGGTACGGTATGTATCCATAGGATCGAGTGATTGCAATGAGTTGACCGAACTGTTTTGTGTTTTATGCCCTTGCGTAGAGTACATTTCTGGCCTTATTACTTTTGATTGAAAATATTGAGTTACATAAAATACTTGTCCATTGACCCATCTTCCAGTACATGAGGAGTAAGCACAGGTTGTTACTGGTGTTGAAATGCTAAAAGGAGGAGCAGTTATGGTTGTACATTCCAAGATTGCAAAGCTAAACCAAAATAAATCTCTTCATTTCTCTTTAGCCCCTGTTGCTGTGAAGAGGAGTGGAAACCTTGGACTGCAAGTCTTTCGAATCTCTTTTTGCCTCCTTCCTTACTGTCCTACACAACCATCAACCAGGAGTTTACAAACCAGCTTTTTGCTCAAATCAGCCTGTCTAATAAAGAAGAATCAACCCCAAAACCCTGCAAAACCCCGTCTCTTGAGGGAACAGACCAGGGCAGCCCTCAATCTGGAGATGGCTACTTTGAGATGACACTAGATGATACTAACGAGATCATGGGTTGTTCCTCCTCGTCTACTATTCAGGAAAAGGTAACAGATGATGTGAAGAAGGAATCCACAATTGTTAATGTAAAACTGGTGGTTTGGTCTCTTTGCATCAGTGTTGGAGAAGGTTTGAGTCAGCGGCCATCTTGTTTGGTGGCAACGGACTGCTCACTTGTGGTTTTCCACACAAGGTCAGAAGAACCAGTGAGTAACTTGGAGGAACTAACGGAGAACCTTGAGATAGACTTGATTGTGCCATACACCAACATTGAGACCTTTCAGTTTGATATTCCAGAGGTTTGTGTCTCCTTGAATGTGAAGTCAAACAGTACACGTTGGTTCTTTTTCTCAGATGCCCAAAGTCTGAAGGAGATGCACTCTTGCATTGTTCCATATGTGGACCAAGCTAATGAGCAAGTATTGAACTCCCCTAACACTCAACTGTTTATCCGACAGTTTCTGAACTCTTGGGACTTTGAGGAAAGTGCGGGCAGTGTTAAAGGCGGATACTTGATCCATTTCCTTAATCTAGACTCATCTACCTCTGACAAGAATGTTGCAAACAACCCCCAGTTTCCAAAGAACTCTGTACCTTCAGATGTTTTATCCCAAATCAGCCTGTTTGAAAGTGATCAGGACCAAACCTCCAATCCCATGATCCTTTTCCTGACCTCTCGGTACCTCTGTATTCTCAAGGTAGATTTTGTTGCTCTGGCGTCCCGGGACCCTGCGGAAGCAAGGAGGATGCAGAGCTGCTCCAAAGTAACCCATATCCCACTCTCATTCACGCTTCTCGACCCAAAGCAGTGCTGTTCGTGTAGGGCTGTCTCAAACTCTCGCCTTTTCTACGATGAGCATGTTATAGAACTGATGGTGGGTCATGAGTGCCTGACTGTTGTTTTTGCCCTTCCACAAGACAAGTTCATGTTCCTGAGAGAGTTCACACAGCTTCGGTCCAGTCTGAGGGAAATTAAGACCATAGCCCTCCAGCGCACCAAGAAAGGACACTTGAAAGTGCACAGTTGTCCCGCTCCTGCTACAGCCACGGAAAGAATACCTGCCAGCAGGTAATGGAGTGCATTCATTACTAGTATTTTCAAATATATGTTAGCATAGATGCCATTTTAGCCCCAGTTCTAAGCTTTAGGCTGGAATGTATCTGAAAGGTTTTAGGTTCAAACCTTGCAAAGGCTTTCACCATTTGTGCCTTTTTAACAAGACACTTCAGCAAGGATATTCTGGACTACATGTAGCTAGCATTCACTGGCAATAACATCAATGTCCATCAGTTGGAGTTGGGAATTGGCGTCATCATATTGTTTAAATGACTAGAAGTTCATCAGACTAGACAAGAAATCTCAGCTCAAAAAGTCAATTAAGTTTTTTTCTATATCCCTTAAACCAAATGAAAAACTTGTTTTCTAACCGGTCTTTCAATTCACCCTTCACTGGGAGTTTGACTGACAGGTGATCTGACCAATTAAAACACCAAATCTGCCATTTTGTCTGATAAACAAACCAGACAGGAGATTAGATTAAAGTGGGTGGACTTGAACTTCATGTTATTTTGTACTATAACTAGTAAAGAGGAAAAGATGAACGGTTCATGTGCTGCTTGAACTGAGGCACTACAGAGATCTGTCACGACACATTAAAGAGCCAAAAAACGGTTCTGAATTTCTTAAAAAAATTTGAAAGCTGATGTTTCATACCAAAAGTAACCTGCCGTCTTGTCTGTTGCGCGCTGTCAGTGTCCTCTTTGCTCCGCAATGTTTTTTTCAATGCGTGAGAACATGTGTGGCATGAGAGCACCATGGCTTGTCAGACATAGCAACTGTAACTAAGGGGGGTGGGCCTTTTGCGAAGGGTCAATTCATGTCATGACCATTTTAAACCTGGTAACATCCCACAATATTTGCAAGGATGCCAGAAGTGAAAGTAACACATATTTTTGCAAAGAATTGTGTTGATAACTCCTAACCAGTCCAGAAGTTAATTGGACAAGATTAGAAATCCCAGCTTAAATATACGAATAAGAATTGATTCTAACCTTATCCCTAACCTTGTTGGACTAGAAAAGAAATCTCCGCTCAGATGGACTAAAAAGCCCTGACTCTTACCTTATCCCTAATCCTAAGCTTACAGATGACGTTATAAACCATTTTTACTGGATACCAAATGCAGCAGAGGAGGTAAAATGCATCTGCTAAATGACTACTCATTTTTCCTAAGGCAGCATTTGTTAAAGGGTTACTCCACCCCGAAATGAAAATTTTGTCATTAATCACTTCAACCCCCATGTCGTTCCAAACCCGTAAAAGCTTAGTTCGTCTTCGGAACACAATTAAGATATTTTGGATGAAAACCGGGAGGCTTGTGAATTACCCATTGACTGCCAAGTAAATTACACTGTCAAGGTCCAGAAAAGTATGAAAGACATCGTCAGAATAGTCCATCTGCCAACAGTGGTTCAACCGTAACGTTATGAAGCGACGAGAATACTTTTTGTACGCAAAGAAAGCAAAAATAACGACTTTATTCAACAATTTGTCTTCTCTGTGTCTCTCTGCATCACCGTAGCGTCATTTTGGAGAATATCCGCTGAACGCAAGCAGCGTATGCTCTTCTGTTTCAGCCACGCTGCACGGATGTGCTGTTTTCGTTCAAATCAAAGCGTCTAATAAAGAAGAATCAACCCCAAAACCCTGCAAAACCCCGTCTCTTGAGGGAACAGACCAGGGCAGCCCTCAATCTGGAGATGGCTACTTTGAGATGACACTAGATGATACTAACGAGATCATGGGTTGTTCCTCCTCGTCTACTATTCAGGAAAAGGTAACAGATGATGTGAAGAAGGAATCCACAATTGTTAATGTAAAACTGGTGGTTTGGTCTCTTTGCATCAGTGTTGGAGAAGGTTTGAGTCAGCGGCCATCTTGTTTGGTGGCAACGGACTGCTCACTTGTGGTTTTCCACACAAGGTCAGAAGAACCAGTGAGTAACTTGGAGGAACTAACGGAGAACCTTGAGATAGACTTGATTGTGCCATACACCAACATTGAGACCTTTCAGTTTGATATTCCAGAGGTTTGTGTCTCCTTGAATGTGAAGTCAAACAGTACACGTTGGTTCTTTTTCTCAGATGCCCAAAGTCTGAAGGAGATGCACTCTTGCATTGTTCCATATGTGGACCAAGCTAATGAGCAAGTATTGAACTCCCCTAACACTCAACTGTTTATCCGACAGTTTCTGAACTCTTGGGACTTTGAGGAAAGTGCGGGCAGTGTTAAAGGCGGATACTTGATCCATTTCCTTAATCTAGACTCATCTACCTCTGACAAGAATGTTGCAAACAACCCCCAGTTTCCAAAGAACTCTGTACCTTCAGATGTTTTATCCCAAATCAGCCTGTTTGAAAGTGATCAGGACCAAACCTCCAATCCCATGATCCTTTTCCTGACCTCTCGGTACCTCTGTATTCTCAAGGTAGATTTTGTTGCTCTGGCGTCCCGGGACCCTGCGGAAGCAAGGAGGATGCAGAGCTGCTCCAAAGTAACCCATATCCCACTCTCATTCACGCTTCTCGACCCAAAGCAGTGCTGTTCGTGTAGGGCTGTCTCAAACTCTCGCCTTTTCTACGATGAGCATGTTATAGAACTGATGGTGGGTCATGAGTGCCTGACTGTTGTTTTTGCCCTTCCACAAGACAAGTTCATGTTCCTGAGAGAGTTCACACAGCTTCGGTCCAGTCTGAGGGAAATTAAGACCATAGCCCTCCAGCGCACCAAGAAAGGACACTTGAAAGTGCACAGTTGTCCCGCTCCTGCTACAGCCACGGAAAGAATACCTGCCAGCAGGTAATGGAGTGCATTCATTACTAGTATTTTCAAATATATGTTAGCATAGATGCCATTTTAGCCCCAGTTCTAAGCTTTAGGCTGGAATGTATCTGAAAGGTTTTAGGTTCAAACCTTGCAAAGGCTTTCACCATTTGTGCCTTTTTAACAAGACACTTCAGCAAGGATATTCTGGACTACATGTAGCTAGCATTCACTGGCAATAACATCAATGTCCATCAGTTGGAGTTGGGAATTGGCGTCATCATATTGTTTAAATGACTAGAAGTTCATCAGACTAGACAAGAAATCTCAGCTCAAAAAGTCAATTAAGTTTTTTTCTATATCCCTTAAACCAAATGAAAAACTTGTTTTCTAACCGGTCTTTCAATTCACCCTTCACTGGGAGTTTGACTGACAGGTGATCTGACCAATTAAAACACCAAATCTGCCATTTTGTCTGATAAACAAACCAGACAGGAGATTAGATTAAAGTGGGTGGACTTGAACTTCATGTTATTTTGTACTATAACTAGTAAAGAGGAAAAGATGAACGGTTCATGTGCTGCTTGAACTGAGGCACTACAGAGATCTGTCACGACACATTAAAGAGCCAAAAAACGGTTCTGAATTTCTTAAAAAAATTTGAAAGCTGATGTTTCATACCAAAAGTAACCTGCCGTCTTGTCTGTTGCGCGCTGTCAGTGTCCTCTTTGCTCCGCAATGTTTTTTTCAATGCGTGAGAACATGTGTGGCATGAGAGCACCATGGCTTGTCAGACATAGCAACTGTAACTAAGGGGGGTGGGCCTTTTGCGAAGGGTCAATTCATGTCATGACCATTTTAAACCTGGTAACATCCCACAATATTTGCAAGGATGCCAGAAGTGAAAGTAACACATATTTTTGCAAAGAATTGTGTTGATAACTCCTAACCAGTCCAGAAGTTAATTGGACAAGATTAGAAATCCCAGCTTAAATATACGAATAAGAATTGATTCTAACCTTATCCCTAACCTTGTTGGACTAGAAAAGAAATCTCCGCTCAGATGGACTAAAAAGCCCTGACTCTTACCTTATCCCTAATCCTAAGCTTACAGATGACGTTATAAACCATTTTTACTGGATACCAAATGCAGCAGAGGAGGTAAAATGCATCTGCTAAATGACTACTCATTTTTCCTAAGGCAGCATTTGTTAAAGGGTTACTCCACCCCGAAATGAAAATTTTGTCATTAATCACTTCAACCCCCATGTCGTTCCAAACCCGTAAAAGCTTAGTTCGTCTTCGGAACACAATTAAGATATTTTGGATGAAAACCGGGAGGCTTGTGAATTACCCATTGACTGCCAAGTAAATTACACTGTCAAGGTCCAGAAAAGTATGAAAGACATCGTCAGAATAGTCCATCTGCCAACAGTGGTTCAACCGTAACGTTATGAAGCGACGAGAATACTTTTTGTACGCAAAGAAAGCAAAAATAACGACTTTATTCAACAATTTGTCTTCTCTGTGTCTCTCTGCATCACCGTAGCGTCATTTTGGAGAATATCCGCTGAACGCAAGCAGCGTATGCTCTTCTGTTTCAGCCACGCTGCACGGATGTGCTGTTTTCGTTCAAATCAAAGCGTAAATACATGTAGAAAACGTATCCTTGTCAAGTCACCTTTATTTATATAGCGCTTTTAACAATACAGATTGTGTCAAAGCAACTGAACAGCATTAATTAGGAAAATAGTGCGTCAATAATGCAAAATGACAATAGTAAACACTCATTTTTCAGTTAAAGACAGTTCATCATTGAATTCAGTGATGTCAACATCCAGCTCAGTTCAGTTTAAATAGTATGAGATGCATTATTTGAATGCTTGGCCAAAGAGATGTGTCTTTAATCTAGATTTAAACAGAGAGAGTGTGTCTGAACCCCAAACGTTATCAGGAAGGCTATTCCAGAGTTTGGGAGCCAAATGTGAAAAAGCTCTACCTCCTTTAGTGGACTTTGCTATCCTAGGTACTACCAAAAGTCCAGAGTTTTGCGACCTTAGGGAGCGTGATGGATTGTAGCGTGGTAGAAGACTAGTTAGGTATGCAGGAGCTAACCCATTAAGGGCCTTATAGGCAAGTAATAATATTTTGTAACTGATACAGAACTTAATAGGTAGCCAGTGCAGAGACTGTAAAAATTATGATATTTTCTTGACCTGGTAAGGACTCTAGCCGCTGCATTTTGGACTATCTGTAGCTTATTGAAGATGCAGGACAACCACCTAGCAGTGCATTACAATAGTCCAGTCTAGAGGTCATGAATGCATGAACTAGCTTTTCTGCATCAGAAACGGGTAACAAGTTTCGTAACTTGGCAATGTTTCTAAGATGGAAGAATGCTGTTTGTAACATGGGAAATATGATTTTTAAAAGACAAGTTGCTATCTAATATAACACCTAGATTTTTGTCCGTAGAGGAAGTAACCGTACATCCGTCTAGTTGGAAATTGTAATCCACGAGATTCGGTGTACTGTCTTTTGGTCCAATAAGCAGTTAAATTTGGTCCAATAAGCAGTTAAATTTGTCTAGTTGCAAATTGTAATCCACGAGATTCGGTGTACTGTCTTTTGGTCCAATAGTCCGTGGTGTCCCGGCGCCGGAGTGAAGGACATCTGAGAAGGTCGCGTCCTGGGTGCACCGGGCCTGTGCAGAGAAACACACGGAGTAGAGGTGGTGGGAGAGTTAGCAGCAGGCTGTATACTTACCTTGGACTTGTGAGCGTCAGCCTGGGATGTTTCCAGCACGGCTCTCCGCTCTCTCAGCTGGGTCTACCTCTCCACCAGGTCGCGGATCTGCTTCTCCACGGCCTCCAACGTGTCCTCACCTGCACTCAAAGGTAGACACACATCCGCCATTAAAGCAAGTAACAGTGAGTAAAACAATGGTAATGTGTGTGAATAGAGTATTAGTAATGTAAGCGAGATTAGCGTCAACCACGCTGGCGATGCTATCGGGCTAATAGCGGATTCGGGAAGTCAAAAATAGAACTAGTGATAAGGCGCTCTGATTGTTTTTGTTGTAGAATACGATAGGGGATATATTCACACGTTATAGAAACGAGTGTGTCGCGGCTGACACAGAATAGCGTACACAGTTTGCGTTCAGGGGATAATCTCCAAAATGACACTACGGTGATTCGGAGAGACACAAAGGAGACAAATTGTTGAATAAAGTCGTTATTTTAGTTTTCTTCGCGTACAAAAAGTATTCTCGTCACTTCGTAACGTTACGGTTGAACCACTGATGGCAGATGGACTATTCTGACGATGTCTTTCATACTTTTTTGGACCTTGACAGTGTAATTTACTTGGCAGTCAATGGGACAGTCACAAGCTTCCCGGTTTTCATCCAAAATATCTTAAATTGTGTTCCGAAGATGAACAAGGCTTTTACGGGTTTGGAACGACATCACGTAAGGGATTAATGACAAAATGTTCCTTTTGGGGTGGAGCAACCCTTTAATTAGCAAAACCTTAATGTTTGTTCTTATCTGTTTTGACAGTAATACTGCACTGCTTTTTTTTCCACAGCATCCCTCAGGAAGTGCCAAGGCCCCATCTGACCCTGTCTTTGCTGTATCCAGCCAAATCCCTCATTCAGCAGCTGATGGAGGACAACCAATGTCCCTCGCATCTCTCGCTCTCCTCCTCATTACTCCTCATCTCGTCTCTCAAGGGAGACCAGCTCGTTCACTTCTTCCACAACAATGTTGCAGAGGCAAGTCATTTGCGCATATTCATATACTATGAGGAAATTTCCCTGGATTGTTGTGCCGTAAAACATTTTCTAAGCAATTGCTTGGGTTTTTCCTGTGGTTCTGTTGTCGTCACACTGTATATTCCTCGATTAGTCCTTCCGGTCAACCCCTTGTGCATTTGTTTATTTACGTTGATTGTATTACATTTGGCCAGCTGCCTTGTTTTCACAAAATTATTATCTGAACCTCTTTCCACTCATTCCTATGCAATCAGTGTCTTGTTTTTTACAGGATTTCCTAGACTGAATTTAAACTGTAAACACACCTAACATTTGAAGTTTGTAACATGATTAGTGACCCTCACTAGAATCATTAAAATGTAGAGTATTTATGTGGCTGTTTTCTTGGACGCATCCTATATTCTTAAAAATAAAAAGATAAATAGCATGGATCAAGGTATCATATAGCACAAAATGCAGACAAGAAACAAACCCATGGCCCTACATTTAAGCAATTGAAATCCTAGTCTATGCAAACACTGCTAAAACTGCAGTATTATGCAATGAAGAGAAAGAAAATTTGTGTGTTTATCTTACCGTTGGCTTCCAGATGGAGAATGAGGAGCTGAAATACATCCTGTGGACGTCAGTGCTCTTCTACAGATCTCCTGATGTGGAGACCACTGCCTGTGTCCTGCTGTCCACCAAAGCCATTTACTTCATCCTGGATGACACGGCGTCCTCACTTACCAACCAATCAAGTGAGCAAAATCTTACTTTACATTTGCGATGACAATTCTATTGTAATCTAATCTTCAGACATATTAGGTTCTGTTGTTCATTTGATATACTGTTTGAGTATATTCTGTTCTTCTGATGTGTTCAGGTCTATTCAGTCTTGTTTATTTACATACACTATATTATATTCTGTTCTAGTCATCAGTCTAGAACATTAAAATTGATTAATTAAATTGATTCATCTTGCAGTGATGTGGACCTGGCACCAGTCTGAGCACAAGGACAAAGATTTCCTCATTTCCTTTTGTTTCACCCTCAAACTGAAGGACCTGCAGAGCATCAATGTGGGCTTGTTTGATCAGTACTTTAGAGTCATGGGTGAGTTTGTTTTGACCACGATCACTACTGGTCAAATTTTCCATCCGAAATGAGTCAGAGGTTCTTAATTGAATGACGTATTAATCAGAGTTAATCAAAAGGAGTACCAATACATATAAGCGCATGCTTTTAGGGATGCACCGAAATGAAAATTCTTGGCCGAAACCGAACAAGAATTTTTTTTCCCCCATATATTTTCCCAAATGTTTTCAGCATTGCATAAATGAAATAGCCAAAATGTGCTTTTTACTGTTTTGTCTTGCTTTTCAAAGAAAAAAATCAATTACAAAACAACAATTTAAAAATATTTAACACTGAACATTTTTATCATTTTATCAGACATTATACCAACATAGCACAATTTAACTTATTAAAATGAGTAAGTTAGTAAAATAATATTTTTTGGCCATCAGACCCCCTTCTTGAATCAGGCATGTATTTTTTATTGAACAATTAAAAGCAGCCTTGCTGAGCAGAAGAGACTTCTTTTAAAACATTAGAAAATATTACAGATCCTAATTTGAACACTATTTGTGAATGTTATAATAAATGTATTAACAGAGCTGTTGTAATGATTTTTATCATTATTATTGTCTTACTTTTTATTTTATTTAACAGAACAACAGTAAAATTACAATACTAACATTTATGAATGTTGATGGAGTTCTTGCTTTTTCTCAACTTTTATTTTGGCGGAAACATGCAGGAAGACCTCAATGTTTCTTTTTGTTGACAGCAGATTTATAAATGAGTCTCATTACAAATACGTCGCACGTATCGCATTGTCACATGCCTTGTAAAAATTTATAAAAATGTAACTGAGGAGTAACACTGGTTCATCACAGATTTTTCTTGCGCTTTGGACTTTGAACCCTGGTTAACAGGCAGATCTGCCGCGAGTTTGTGCAGCGCTGTCAGAATACATGCAATGTGTGCATGTATTAGAAAACATTACGTTCTGCAGTTTATTTACTAATTGTTTAAGGCCATTTTGCGATTTCAATAATCATACAGTTACCAGAAACCATCATCCCTTCCTCTTCTTATCAAAGACATGCGATGCAGCACTAAACAGTCTCTCGCTGTCGGTGCTTGTAATGATTTTTGTGTCTTTCTTGGACAGTTTTAAATGCTTCCACACTGCTGACATGTGTGCTGCCTCTTACTCTATGCTGGTTGCTATTTGATAGCGTCACGTCATTGTTCGGTACAATTTATTCGGTCTTTTCGCTTATTCTATTTGCTTATAATTTCGGTTGCCGAACATTCGGTGCATCCCTACATGCTTTATGAATTCAGCTCTGCTAAGGAAATAGTTGCATTTGATATTGCTGCTGCTTTTGGGAGAAAATGCGAGAAGCTTGCATTTTCGGTATTTATCCACACCAGACCATTTTGTGCATGTTTGGTTTTACAACCAAAAATGTAAGTGTCTACAAATTGGCACCAAAAAGTTTAACAAGCAACAGTTTCCAGTTTTAACGTGTTCTACTCTGAATTGGTTCCCTAGTTTCAGTAAATAGCATTGATGCCACAATGAAGCTGAAACCGAAAACAATGTTTAATATCTCTCTTCACAGGGCCCTCGGCTGATCACATCATTTCCTGTTTGACCCGTGACAGTTACAGCACACACCGGTTCCTGCAGCAGCTGATGATGGTTTTGACCTTGCTGGAGAAAGTTCCCTCTCCTGAACCTTCTGAGCTGGATTTCTACTCGCAGTTTGGAAACAAAAGCACAGGTTTGACTACTATTGTGAATATTCAATATTTTGCTCATCCATACCTAAACCCTTCGACTGGATGTTTAGCAAACACTTTTTGATGTTAGAATATTTGTATGTCCTCATAAATCAGGTAAAATGGTGAATTACGAACTGGTCCATTCCAGCAAGGTGAAGTTTATATATCCAAGCGAGGAAGAGATTGGAGACCTCACCTTCATCGTGGCGGAGAGGAAGACCCCTCAAGTGCCGTCTCACTCCTTTAACATCCTTTTGTACGTACTGGTATTCCAGGTCCACATTGTTCCGGGCCAAACCGCCCAGAACCAGACCGTCCTACAACCCAAGACTCTTATACTCACCAGCACGGATGTCTTCCTCCTGGATGAAGACCACATCAGCTACCCGCTACCCGAATTCGCAAAAGAGCCACCACAAAGAGACAAGTACCGCCTCACGGACGCCTGGCGGATACGCGACTTGGACCGCGTGCTAATGGGCTACCAGACTTACCCACAAGCCCTCACGCTGGTGTTCGATGATGTTCCCGGGCCGGATCTTTTGTGCCACCTTACCATGGACCATTTTGCAGATGGTGACGGGAAGGGCGACAGGACGCAGGGGTTCGGAGGAGCCGAGGGGGAAGTGCAATGGTGTATTTTCGTACCAGGAGCTGATAGCAGAGAGAGGCTAATATCGCTCTTGGCTCGCCAGTGGGAGACATTGTGTAGCCGAGAGTTGCCGGTTGAGCTAACAGGCTAAAGTACAAAAAAATGATGGAAAATTTGCAGTATTCACAGTATGACGAACATATTTGTTTTTATTAACTTTTTTCAGTTTTGACACAATGCATCCTGGGAAGCTATGTTGTAGAGTCCACACGAGTATAATATATATTTTTTGTCTCAGGCTTCAAACTTTGCTTTTTTTGCTGCTTTTCAGACATATTTATCTGCTGCTTTGTACAATCAGCCATGCATCATGAAATGTGAAACATCTGTTTTGTGCAGTTCAGTGTTATTTTAAGTAAATTTGTTGTTCTGTGGCAAAATGATTTTCAGATGGCTTTCAATGAACGGAAAAAGATATATAGTCTTTTTTTTTTATGTAAATGCAGTTTTAATGTGTTATTTAAATTTTAGAAAGTATTCCCGAGATAAATCTGTGGATTTATTTGTACA